AGCTATGAAGATAAATTAATTCCACTTTTCAGACTGTTAGAATATTGTATAAGTTTTGATGATGGACAGATTATACAAGTGAAAGCAAACACCTGTAAGACAGCATGTGTAATGGACTCTGTGTATTCAGGGGTGGGTTTGTTGCCGAGCTGTCTGAGGTGGGCTCCCTGATTAAACAAAGCATTGCTGAGGGCCTATAAAAGGTAGGGATATGTGAGCGCCAGGGGCGGACTGACAACTCATGGGGCCCCCGGGCAATAGGGGATCATGGGGCCCCTATGTCCTTGCCCAAACTCAAACAAGCCTATGAAAAAGGTACCAGGGGCCTCATGGGGCCCCCTACTGACCCTGGGCCCTCGGGCAGTGCCCGAGTTTCCAAATGGTCAGTCCGCCCCTGGAGAGCGCACTAAAAAGTTGTAGAAGCAGCTATGCACAAAGGTAACCAAGATAAAACCTTGATAGAAACAATACAAAAGTGGTGTAGTGCTAAAAAATGTGATCATATAAATCTGATAAAATGATCCAAGTAAAAGTTAATGAAATGGTAAACAGTTCAAAAGTGACTCTAGTGCTCTTTAGGTGCCTGCTTTCCTGGTAAACCAGTGCTGTGCAGTAGTTGTAGAAGAAATGCACACTCACTGGACTCGCAAATATAATGCAAGTATAACTCCAGATGTCGTCAGGACAAGCCAGGTAATGGGGTGACTTCCTTCTGAAGGGTAGATGGTCATCAAAGGATCTTGGGGCTTTAATGGTGATCCACACCAGCCAGAGCTCCCCTTAAAGGGTTAAGAGGGTGCTGCTCCCTGGATAAGAGGTTCCCTCTCTGGATACTGGGATGGATCTCGTCCTATGGCAAGGTGTTTGGAAATTAAAACTCCCCCAGGGAGTTAAGACAAGGACATGACCATAGTGTAGTAGGTATAAGTATATTTATTCAAGAATAAGTTAAAACCGATGCATCAGAAAATTATAAAGGAATAGCAAGTTCACAGGACTAACCGTCCACACTCAAAGATGGCCACCGGAGCTCCACGTTGCTCCGGAAGCGTGTAGTCACGGTGTAATTGGCTTCTCCTTATGTGTTTCGTGCGCACGCATGTCTTCAGAGGGATGGCCATCCCCTCTGAAGATGTGCGTGCGCATGAAACGCGTAAGAGGAGCCAATTACGCATTGACGTCATGCTGCGGCAGCAACGTGGAGCTCCGGTGGCCATCTTTGAGTGTGGACAGTTAGTGCGCACGCACATCTCAAAGGGGATGGTCATCCCATTTGAAAATGTGCGTGCGCATGAAACACGTAAGGAGGAGCCAATTACGCTGTGATGTCACGCTGCCGGAGCAACGTGGAGCTCCGGCGGCCATCTTTGAGTGTGGACGGTTAGTCCTGTGAACTTGCTATTCCTTTATAATTTTCTGATGCATCGTTTTAACTTACCCTTGAATAAATATACTTATACCTACTACACTATGGGCATGTCCTTGTCTTAACTCCCAGGGGGAGTTTTAATTTCCAGAGACCCTGCCATATGCCGAGATCCATCCCCGTATCCAGAGAGGGAACCTCTTATCCAGGGAGCGGCACCCCACGCACCCACTTAACCCCTTAAGGGGAGCTCTGGCTGGTGTGGATCACCATTAAAGCCCCAAGATCCTTTGATGACCATCTACCCTTCAGAGGGAAGTCACCCCATTACCTGGCTTGTCCTGACGACATCTGGAGTTATACTTACAGGCGCATTATATTTGCGCTTCCGGTGAGTGCGCATTTCTTCTACAACTACTGCACAGGCACCGGTTTACCAGGAAAACAGGCACATAAAGAGCACTAGAGTCACTTTTGAACTGTTTACCATTTCATGAACTTTTACTTGGATTATTTTATCAGATTTATATGATCAAATTTTTTAGCGCTGCACCACTTTTGTATTGCTGAGGGCCTGGCTGTTGATTAACTTACTGTTAACTAGATCCCTGTTAGCTGTGGGCTGTACTGTTGTTACCAAGCTCTTACCTAATCAGTGTGGATGTTTATCTCAATGTGTAATATTTGTTTTATTTTTCATGTGGGGGCACTGCCCCTATTTCTGGATTGTATAAAAAACCTGTGTTTTCTGTTCAATAAAGAGTTCCTGTTTGGCATCTAAGCTAGTCTCATCTAGTCTTGGGTGCAATGCCCAGCTATAATACTTTGGTCCTGTGTCCCAGTGGCGAGGAAGTGTTTCTCTTACAGAATCACCCAATCAGGGTGATAGACGTTCCATCACAAAATGTTTTTCTTTTTTCATAAGTGATCACATACCCTGTGTTCCCCACTGCATAAGAAGCTTAAATAGCTTGGGGAGGAGAAACAGCAGCACATTGACCTTCACAGTGAATGGCTGTGAAGGGGGGGAGGTGTCAGGACAACTCTGATCACTGGAGAAGAGCAGGTTGAGTTCTCAGCTGTGCTAAAGAACTGACCACGCTGTGCTCTCATGCCTAGTGCGTTTAGTTTCTAATAGTAAAGCACAGGCACCGGCAGGAATACACAGTGATTTACACAATGGAAGCAATACAAAGAGAACAGGATACAGTACTTTTTCAGACAAGTACATGGTACAGCAGGCACATATCAGGAATATGAAATGTTGGATCTACATATTCTTCAAACTACCTGAGCGCTATATGCCTGTTCCTGTACACACATCTGACAGGGCCATGTTTACCATAATGGCACTTATGAGCCAGTGCCTTCAGAGGATCAGGGGGTGAAAACCTCAAGATGTACTAATTTTGATAACTTTTTCCTTATCCTGTTTCCCTCTTATGACCAGAAGACTCTTTTTAGTTCAAGGTACATGAAGTCATCTCTACTTTGTCTCAGTTGGTGGTTTATACTGTATGTAGCTGAATTTATCAAGAAAACTGTAGCGGGTAGGGGGTAAAGGAGATGTTTAGAGGAATCAAAAGGCTCTTTACAGCTTAGGAAACATGAACCAACCTCTTCGTTCTCTTGTCTGCTGGTCTGCATAGGTATAACATAGTCCTGCATATAAAGCAGACAGCATGCTGCCTCCAATAGCACATTTAGAACTGTTTTTACTAAAAATTAAATGATTATAGCCTATTACTGCCATAACCCCTTATTGGCCTTATGCAGTTGGACTCATTGCACATGCAGTATGGTCAGCCCTGAATAAAATGTAACATAAATACATACTAGCTATAACAAATCTGGATATACAGTACATAAGCCATTCTAAAGGATACATTTGAATATATTTTATCTGACTGCAATAGCTCCTCCACTAGTGGGTATTTCTGCTCAGGCTCTTAAATCATTCAAATCTGCAAGCTGCTGGAAGTTCCAGGCAGTGACCTGAAGTAATTTTGTAAAGTTGCTATACCGTTTTTACTTTCCCCTTAATGTAACTACCTCTGTAATTATCTTAATTAGGGAGACAGAATACTGACATAATGTATAGTCACTTCTGCCAACCACTATTAGCCACCTTGAACCTATTTTTCTGTAACTTTTTTATGAGAAGCTGGATTTCTGTATTTGATCTAAAAACATTTCTTCCTACCCTTAATTGCAGTAACATTGTAAGGAGTATTTGCATATGAATAAGCAACAGATCTTGCGCCATATTCCTCTGCCATTAGTCCTGCACCCACCGAGTGGATACATTACAAGCCAGATGTTAAATTGCTTTGACTTTTGGTGTTAAAATGACTACAAGTATTATGTTAAAAAAATCTAATGCTGGCATTTTGAAACAGAATAATATGCAAGCCTTGTGTTCAGATAATAGGAAAAAGCTGGCCTTTTACCGCTGTTTATGAGTAAAAATAAGAAGGAAATTCACGGACAACGACTAAAAAAAAAAGCAGTCATTATAAATTCATAAATCTTTTTCCTACATCATAAGAAAAATAAAAATTGTTTCATTGTCTGTAACGATGAAATGCTCTTTCAAGGATGTTGGATTTGTCTCAGATATCATAGCACCAAAAGCATTACACTTGATCCCTATCCAGACCTGAAAAATAGATGTATGTAAACATGTAAAAAGATATGTAAAAAAAAAAAAAAAGCAGCAAACCATTTACATTTTAATAGAAATTATAATAATGCATTTTTAGGAAAAAACACCAGGCTAAACCATAGTGAAGGTATAGGAATAGTAAAAATCAAATCCCCGTTTGTGTCCTTAATTCATAAAATATATGTTAACAGTTAAAGATTTAGGCAGAAAAAAATCAATATAGTGCAACTAATAAAAATAAACAAATAAATAAATAAATTAAATAAATAGAAAACCTCCATATACAGAATCTTGTGCCCTCAGTTAAAATGGTTGTAAAGGCTCAAGGTGTTTTACCTTCATGCATTCATGCATGAAGGTAAAAAACCTGTGTACAGCAACCCCCCCAAACCCTCAATACTTACCTGAGCTCCATCGCGATCCGGCGATGTGCACAAGAGCCTCGGCTCTCCGGTGACTCTCCCTCCTCATTGGCTAAGACAGGAGCAGGAGCCATTGGCTGTCAATCACAGCCAGTGAGCCAATGAGAACAGTGAGGGAGTGGGACAAAGTGAATGGACACGCAGAGCAGCAGCTCAGGAACAAGCCTGCTTGGGTGCCCCCAGAGCAAGCTGCTTGCTCTGGGGGCAGGAGGGAGGGGCCAGAAGTGCTGGCTGGGTACCAAGAAGAGCAGCAGGTAAATACTATATGACCTGTTTGTTATTTTTTTTTTATTGCCTTTAATATCACTTTAATCCAGGGGAAGGCAAAAAACCCTCTATAAAGCATGGTCCAATTTGTGGGGAAAAAGTAAATTCCTCCCGGATCCCCTCGAAAGCAATCAGATTTTCCGTGGATCAGCAGTCCCTGGTGTTATTACCTATGATTGTTAATATTCAGTTATGTTCATTTAGGAATGAATCCAGTGCTGTTTTAAAACAATCTACTGAGCTGGCCAGAACTCATTCTAATTCCACATTTGTTTTTTGTTTAATAAGTTTTTATCAAGGAGTTTAGCAAGCATATGTACAATATAATCTGCCCAGATGGGACATTAGCATCAGTTATGGAACAATCGACATTTGCACATGTAGCCAATAAGGTAAGCCACCATTCAACCAGTGAAGGTGGAACAGTATACACAGGGGCGGACTGACCATTTGGAAACTCAGGCACTGCCCGAGGGCCCGGGGTCAGTAGGGGGCCCCATGAGATGCCCCTGGTACCTTTTTCATAGGCTTTTTTTGAGTTTGGACAAGGACACAGGGGCCCCATGATCCCCTATTGCCCAGGGGCCCCATGAGTTGTCAGTCCGCCCCTGAGTATACAGTATTCCAATTATAAAGGGCAGGATGTGAGAAAGAGGAGAAAGAGGAAGAGGCAAAAAAGAGAAAGGGGGAAGGGGGGTAGGGAGAGAGAAGTCCTTGATCTCGGTATAATGGTCGTAAAAAGGACAAGGTTTAGCAATCATAGCTGATCTTCAATCAGTTTTGGATACCAGTTCTGCATAAGCATGAGAAACAGTATAGGAAAAACTAACAGGCCCATATTTTATGTGCTTTAGAAGCCATGTTACAATATTCATATGTGATATCTTCCATATGATAAAATATGATACACCGCAAGCAGCCATTGTTTACAGTTGGAACAGCTGGCTTTTTCCAGTATAGAGATTTAGGGGCATTTAAGAGATGAGGTGTGATAGAGTGTCTCTATTGGCAGGTTGGTTCACCGGTGCAATGAAAGAGTACTGCCTAGGGATCTTTGGAACGGTAGACCCCTGTATGACCTCTATCCTAATTTCACATATTCACAGCTTTTACTGTGAATAAGCCTTTCCATATGTGAAAGTTAAATCTCTTTTTATCTAGTCATAAAGAGTGCCCCCTTGTAAAGTCTAAACATTATTTACCTTAATGCATTCCTTGTACTGTATAAAGTAACATTAAAGGTTTGTGTTTTTTTTCTTTTTAAAACAAACAAACATGATATTCTTACTTGCTCTGTGCAGTGGTTTTGCAGAGAGGAGCCCCGATCCTCCTCTTCTCGGGTCCCCCCACCAGCATTCCTGGCTCCTAGTCTTCAGCATTGCTCTGGGGCCACTGGTGCGTGCTCGCTCTCGAGCTACTGCTCTATGTCCATAAGATACATAGAGCCACGGCTCAGCCCTGCCCCCCTGATATCTCCTCATTGGCTCACTGGTGTGATTGACAGCGGCAGGAGCCAATGTGTACATTGTCTTTCATATCTATTGTAAACTGAATGGGTTGTTTTACAAGATAAGGGTTTACATATACTTTAAAAATGTTGCTGTTTAACAAAAACTCTTCTATGTGGTCTTTTATCAAACTCTCAAAATCTTCCCGCCTAGAGAACTTAAACTAACTGGTCTGTAGTTATTTGTTAAAGACTTTCATCCGTTTTTAAATACAGGCACTACATTAGCCCTGCGCCAATCTAGTGGTACAAAGTCAGTCATTAAAGAGTGCCTAAACATTATAAACAATGGATTTGAAATAATAGAGCTCAACACTTTGGGGACACATGGATGTAAGCCATCTAGTCCAGGTGCTTTATTCATCTTTATTTTGTCGAAATGTTTCTGGACCATATCACTTTTGAGCTATTTGGGCTCTTTTGGGCTCCTTTGGGGCTATGTCGATATTATTTACATTATGGACTTGAGCTCCCCTATTTTCCATTGAATACACAGCTGAAGAAGGTATTTAATAAAAAGCCTTCTCTTTGTCCCCATTCACCAACTCTAAATGATCTTGTAAGGGCCTAAATGTTCAGAATTGACCTTTTCACTGTTAATATACTGTATTTTAAAAAAAATTTGGTGTTTTTCCTACTCTCTTTCGCATCCTGATGTTCATTTTGAATTTTTGCGGCCTTGAATTCCTTTTTACATATTCTTTGTATCTTTAAAATGTTGATAGCGTTCCTTCATTTTTATATTTTATAAGCTCTTTTCTTATTCTTTATAACATTTTTTTTAACCTTGGATGTGCTACACAAAGGTTTTATATTTAGCCTTTTAAACTTATTGCTCATGGAAATATATTTTGCAGTGTGTTTGTATATAGTCGATTTGAAACATTCCCATTTCTGTTATGTATTCTATGATGACAATAATCCTTCCCAGTCTTGGAGAGCATCCCTCATCCATTAAAAATTATGCTCTCTTAAAACTGAGTGTGTTGGCATTCCTCCAAATCACTGCTTTTAGGAGTTTCAAGAAAAAGATACCTTTAATGCTGTAACCTACAAAGACATTTTAGACAATGTGCACTTCCAATCTTGTGGCAACAGTCTGGGGAAAGCCCTTTTCTGTTCCAGCATGACTATAGCTCTGTGCACAAAGCCAGATTAAACATATTTTGTTAAGTTTAGTGTAGAGGAACTCAGTTGACCTACCTAGTTTCCTAACCTCAACCCATCTGAACCCATTAGGGTTGAACTGGAATGGTGGTTATGAGCCAGATCCTCTCATCGGTGTAAAGCCTTCCCAGAAGCATGGAGGTCATGCTCATGATCTTGGAATGGGATGTCCAACAAGTTGATACATGTATGATGGCCAGGTGTTTACAACCATTTGGCCATATAGTATACTTTGTCTCTTGCTGAAGTTCCACACTGATCACTTGTACCAGCAAGTACTGGAGTAGCTGTTGTCTAAGTATGTTAGGCAGTGAAGGACTTTTCAATAGATGATGTATTGGCACTTAAGCTATGGTGCTGACCAGAGGCATACAAAATCCTAACCACCCTAACACTAATTGTGCCTACTAGGGATAAGGTCCCTTACAGTGCCCTTATCTTCAGAGGGCTCCATGCCCTACAATGGTTCACTTCAAAGATTTTAGCAATACAGCTCACCCAGTGCAGCACACAGCCTTTCTGCCTAGATGACTGGTGCACCTTGGGATACTAATAGCCAGTAGTCCATGCACTTTAATAGAGGGCCTGTTAAAAGGTTGATGAACTGGCTAGGATCTCCTAAGGTAGGTTGTCCATTAAGGGTATCCTTCAGCAACTAACTCAACATGAACTTGAACATTAACCCTACTCTTAATGAATGCTATTCTTTGCAAACTTACAGTATCCTGCTTTAGGAACATTTATTGCCAAAATCTGAAAGTGCTGATATCCCATCATTGAAAAAATATGCTTTGCTACACATTTTTGCTTGGTCTGGACCTCTGTCATACTCATACTACCATAGAATATTGCTTTTATGAATCATAGGAATAAATATATGTGACACACCTCTGTATATGACTGTAAAGAGGGAAAAAAGATCATGATAAGAAAAAAACTGACTGTTGGATCATTGAGATAGTGTCTTTGATTACTGGACAGAAGGACTAAAATGTATCTTTAACTAATATAGGTGATCTAACATGGTAAAGGATAGGTCTCATAAAGCTTTAAGTATTTATTATAATTATCCTTTCTTGAAAGCCTGTCTCTATGTTCAGAAAATATACGTAAATATACATAATCTGTCACAGAGTAGTGTTTTGGGATAGTGTACCCTCAGTGATATTTGTGGGCTCCCCAGATATGGTGTTTGAAGGATGGTCTTCGTCAAGAACTACATTGGTCTATGAACTTTCTGATTTTTCACCACTGTCAGTAGTTGATAAGCTGACAAATAAAATAAAGCACCATATTACTATCATCTCATTACTGAAGACACAACTCCACTCTTCCAAGGCTGTTGAAAGAGACTCTTGTGAGAGTTCCCTGTGAATGCACAGAGAAAGCCACAATGCCATCACCAGGCCTAAAGCAAAGATTGTAGAACTACTACCACTGCCAAAGTTGGATGTATCTCTGTTCTCTGTTATTGTTCATACAACACCAGTTTGAATATGTGTGTTGCCAACAGCTTCTTTTCAGGAGGTACAGTCAGCAGTTGGGTGAAAGTCTTCTCATGTCTCATAAATGAGTACAATATTCTTGAAAGTAAACATACAGTAGGTTCATGGAATGAACTTGAGAAGGGATAATGATATGGACTTTATGATTTTGTGTAGTGGAAAATCATAACTGCAATAGATAATCTAAAAGCTTTTACCCTCAATCTTACTAGAGACTCTATTTGCCATTTTGTATAAAGCATCCCTTTGCCTGATATCTTTGGAAATGGATTTTGCTATACAATGCTTGATTACGCATTAACCTTTCCCTTACATATCTATTATGTTCATTTTTTTAGTTATACTGTATTTTGCTCACACCCGTTTTGGGATGTATTTTTTATCTTTGCTAATTTACTAATCTTATAAGCTAAGGAATATTCTTGAACTCCAGCCACACATGTGAAATTCAAATTTAACTATGGAAGTTGGAGTCTTTGTTGTTGAATGGGGATACATCTATCTTGAACAGTATAACATAACTTGTCATGGTTTAGTATTGGTACTAAACTGGTACCCCCATTGAAAAGTGTGAGCTCACCAATCTAACATCTGAAGGACTGGGTGACCTTTGCCAGGAACTCCTACAATGAGGTTTGATGGGTGACAAACAATTCAACTTAAGTACCAAGTTGTTAAGGCATAGCCACCAGTTGCCATATTCCACCAACATGAGATGCTGCTGGAACAGCCTGCTTCTCAGTATCATATTTGGGCCAGTAAATGGTAAATTCAACACTACCAGTAAGTGTCAGAGATTTGTTAAAAACAATTGCCTTGAATTTGGGCATAGCAACAGGTTGCTGAAGGTATGGGCAGGCATTTTTAGGTTTCTGCCCTTTATATTTGATGGCAGATTTTTTTTTTTTATCATGCAGTGACTTTAGTAAATACTTTGCTGCTCAATACTATGGCGCTTGCACGTGACTATGATCCTATGCGCTCAGTGCAGCTGCTCTACAGAAGCTGCTTGTTTGTGCAGATATATTAAGCCATTTGGCAGTGATTATTTATAGCTGGAAAAAGTAAAACATTCTGTAGCAAGCATGTAAAGATTAGGATTTATTGTGCAAGAATCCTTGAACAATTTTATCAAAAGCCCATTTCTATGTGGTGTTTTACTGCAATAAATCACAGAGCAGGAATCTATCTCAGGATACCGCCTTGCAGATAAATGAACAGTGGGGAGAAGGGGTCAGCACAGATTTTCTGTCTTAGAACCTGTCACTGGCAGAGACCCACCAACATTTTACTCATAATTCTTCACCTGCAAGATGCAGCAGAATCAAAGAAGAGATAACATCTGGACAGGGCTAAATTAAACAGTGACGGGGAGGAAAAAGACAAAACAAACTAATGTGAGTGTG